CTTATAGATGAAATCTTCCGGAAAAGAAGGATGGCAGAACTACTTCGCCGTGACTCAAAGAGGGTGGAGGTAATTTGGCCGATGGTCAAGTGAACTTTATTGTGAATAAACGAATGTCAGTCTGGAACAGAATTGTTAACAACGAGGAAAAGCTACAATGCCTTGTCGATAGATATATATTGGGTTGTTCCAAAAGTTCTACCCGTTTTCAAACTTTGACTTTGATTCACCGTAACTCTTCTCAGAAATAATCTTTGCAATTGCTTAAACTGTATTACAATCTGCAAATCTTTGGCTATTCTGTGCACTCTTCAAAATTATTGCAGTAACAGTGGAGAAGATTTTATAAGCGAAAATCGAGGAACATCTCCTCGTAGAAATCATTTTGCAAAAGCATAACTTGATTTGGAATATAGCTGAGTTGCACAAGCACTGCTCACAGTGTAGCCCATAGTCGACAGAGCAGTACCGCTAACTTTGGATTTCATCAAACTCTTTCTAAAAATTTTGTGCTGAAAATTCCGAAAGGACCCACTTATTTTGCTCTTTCTGAGGAGGCAAAAATGCAATTTTTTGACATTTTTGATTTTGTTCGCCGTTGACGAACTAGGAAATCTTTTCGTTCTTCTAGTAGCAGTTGTTCTAGCTCTAATCTTACTATATAGAGTAAAAGTTCCGCGATTGCAATACGTGTGTGATTTTTATGCGACTTGAAAGGACCATAAAGACGGGTTATGTTTGAGCTAAAAATTTGTGGGTTCAAAATTTTTCTGAAATCATATCTCGACGAGGGTTTCGTAGTACAAGTCTCCAGCAAACATTACATTTGTTTGAAAGAAATTTTTTCTTTTGGCTGTAGATTTCAAGGCGATAGAACAAAGACGAACATTTTTACATTTGTTTCGCTGTCTTTACAAAGTACGCAAGCACACAGCGAACAAAGATCTATGAAAACGAAAATATGCCTTAACAACTAGAAGAAAGGAGCTTTTGAATGATATAGGCATTATTTACGAAAAATGGTTTCTTCCTCCAAAATCGGCAGTTCAAAAAAGGTATCGAAAACGGGTAGAACTTTTGAAACAAACCAATACTTCTTTCATACGCAATGGTAAATATTTCAAGGCATCTCCCTTTCAATGCTCAATTTCGGGAAGCAGGGACTAGGCATTTCAATGACACTTTTCATGTAGCCGCTCATCTACAAAAGTTTTTTCTCGGAAGTCTCTGCAGGGTGACCAAGAAGTATGCGCGTCACATTTCTGTCTGCGAAAGTTCTCAAAGGAAGGGTTCCATAAAATTATCTCTGGCGTAAAACGGAAACACCTTACAAGGAAATGGTCGGAAGTAGTTTCCAATTCAAGCAAGCTGAAATTGAGCACACTGTTGCACTTTCAGCCCACTTTAGGCTTTGTGAGTATGAAGTTAATTAACTAGTTGAATGTTTTGGCCCAGCATTAAGCCAGGCATGGCTCTGTACTGCCAAATTTGCGCTTTGCATGACGACTGGCAAAACAACGCCTTTCACTGCTTATAACTTTGCCCACATAGGCGCAAAGCAGATATGGAATACAGATTAGAAGTCAGCGTTTTAGGCCCAAGGCATACCTCGCGCGATTCCGGTCGCCGCGCGATTTGGCACAACAGCGACTCTTCGTAAATCATCGTTGATGCGCTGCATTTGGTCAGAACTTGATCCGTTTGCAACAACTTACACAAGCTACGCAAATATGCTTTCGAGGAGAATGCACGATGAATTTGTAGAAATCTGGCAAATTGCCAAGTCGTTTGAAAGTGGCGATTCGGCTGAATCGCGTGAGGTATGCCTTAGGCCTTTTGCTGCATCTAATGGTATACAGCTTGTTTGGATTAGCCACTTCACTTGTTAGTATGCTCTTGCAAGACTATTGCGCACGCATACAGACTTCAGTGTCTTATCTTGAAGCTAATGCGGCAGAAGTTCTATGTGAAGTTTGCACCGTTATGATTACCCGACTGATCGAATAAATTCCAAAACATGAGGTTTGACGAGCATATATTTTTTTTCATAGAAGTTGCATCTTCTTCCACAATTTTGCTCTTAAAGGCAGTGTCCGGGCAAAAACTCGATTTTGAGATTTTGTGCTTACCCGGGCCTATTCGCTATGCTGAGTCCGAAAATCCACATTGGAGAGCGCGAAAACGACAAAAAAGGGCTCTAATACTGGAGGGAAATCAGCAAGTGGGCGGGGTCTTCCCCACGGTGAATTCACGCTCCTAGCTTCGGGGGCGATCTTTTTGCTTCCGGTTTTGAGTCATTCGTTTGCACTTGATCGGTAGTGATGTCAGGGCGGCTAATGGATTCGAGAAAATTGCTCTGGAAGCTGAACGCGTGAATTCACAGTGGGGAAGGCCGCGCCCACTTGCTGATTTCCCTCCAGTGTTGGAGCCCTTTTTCGTCGTTTTCGCGCTCTCCAATGTGGATTTTCGGATTCAGCATAACGAATAGGCCCGGGAAGCACAAAATCTCAAAATCGAGTTTTTGCCCGGACACTGCCTTTAATGGCGCCGCAGTTTGATAATATGCATTGTGATGTGTGCTACAGCTCGCACAAACTGCTTAATTGAATACAACATAAAAAAGTTCGAAATATTTTCGAACTAGTAAATTTCGGATTCACAAAATTATGAGTAGAATTGGAGCTTTCGCAATCTAGACCTTGCACAACGATCGGAAATTGTGTTTGTTTTGTTGCTAGAGATTGACTTATTCAGCTTAATAATAGGATTTGAAGACAAGCTGAGATCTGGCGCTCTCATGACAACGAGTCGCTGTCGCAAAGCTATTGGGGACAACCATCAACAAGCAAGAAATGTAAATTCTATATTTCACCGGGAATTTCATAGTGAATTTATTCGACCTGCCAACACGAATATCATGTATATCATGTTTATTTGCTGAGGCCTCTGCTCTTGTTTGGGGTTAGACACGATACCCTAAGACCTCATCTCAAAAAAGAGTCTGTATCATGCAAATTCGGTATCGTTTTCGTGATCAGCATGTCGGATACCTCTTTTCCCCTTACGCCGCGAAAGAGCAAAGCAGAGCAGTTCTAGCTTGATAACCGACCTTCCCTTGTAATCCGCTGGAGAAATCACTGCTTAAATCAAAAGGCGCATCTATGGATATAGCCTCCATTTCCATTTAAATGGCTTTTGTTGCTCATGGTAGGTACTTTATCTTCTTATTATCAGTTGAAAAGCTTGTAGATTTTATGTTTTGTATGTTTAGACATTTATATTTAGATTTTTCTTTGGATTATTTCGGAAATGTTTTTTGAATAAGGAACAATTTTGATGGACGACACAGAAATGCTCCCCTATGGGCCGCGAAATTTTCAAAGTACTCCTTTAACGAGCACTCAGACAATCGCCGTTGTTAAAATCCATCATTTCCAATCTGCCTGACTTCTGCTAGATTTTTGATTGTGACAGTATTAAACCATGTTACGGCGTATAGAGCAGAGCTTTCTCAATTCAAAACGTTCCTGTTTCCCTCAACTAGCTTTCCTTCTTATTTGTCCAAGTTAATTTTGCAACATGTATCGTTTGTAACCTTATCACTTACTACCAATCTCTCAAAGAAAACACCGAAATCATCAAAAATAGATACAAAGCCTGAGTGCTACTGAAAAGTAACTCAGGTACATAGGTTAGATTCAAATATAGACAGTATTTTTGCGGTCTCACAGCAAAAAAACTTTTTGTGAGTTCGTTGGCCAGAATGCGCCAACTGTGACATAAAGACGAAGTAATATCTTAATGATGATACAGGAAACTAAATATAAAAAGTTTCTTATAACATCCAAAATAATTAGTGTCACAAACGTTTGCGTCGTCTATCTACTGCATTCCTCACTACTGTTTACTGAGAATTTGCAGAGTTTAAGCACATAATTGTATCAAAAGCTATGTTGAGTTGCTCAATCTGCACATTGAGTGCCTGGCATACATCACGAGATTTCATCGCCTCACGCTTCGCACAAAAGAAAACTGTTACGAGTTCCTTGCATGGTGATCACCTTGCAAATCGGTTGGAAGGTTAGTCTCGTTTAGTTGTGTGGGAAAACTATCACAACCGAAATGCAAGATGTTCATGCAGTGAACCCGTAGCATTTGTCTTGTTGGGTGAATAGCGAGGCGATGAAATTGCGTGGTATATGTCCGGCCCTTTACAATGAAATCGAATGTAGCTACCAATAAGAGATCAGATGGCTGAAAATATCTGATCCGTCTCGATTTGCAGGCCTTACTGTCAGGTTCCACAAGCGTGCGCATACGTACAAAAATTATTTGAAAAAGAATTGTGCAGAAGGATTTGAAAACTTATGTGAGTACTACCTTTTCCAAAATTAGTCCGTCTCCAGACGATCACCAGACAATCTGAGATCGTCTGGAGCATATATTTCTGTGTTACATAAGTTTTGAAGTTTTCTGCCATGGGCGGATTCTCCGGTCAAAAATCTATCCCTGAGCATAAAGACATTTTCATATCATTGCCTTTCTTTTGTATTTTGCCTTAAATTCTTCATAAATCGCTTTGTTAGATATCGCTCCAGTGCCATACTCTTGTGCATACGTAGTACTCAGCTCCAATTTCACTCTTATCCACGTTTTTTCTTTCAAACCAGGAAATCTTTCTTGCTTTATCTCCTCCTAAGTAGGTAGGTCAAAACTGACCTCGTAATACTTTCAAAAGTCAGGGAGACTTCGTTTTCAGATATCCTAGAAACCGACTCGTGCCAGGCCCTGGGTGAAGAGGGAAGGAAATATCTGCCGCGCACGCGACACGATGTAAGTCAAGCAGGGCAGCTTTTGAAATACTGTCGAGCAAAAGGCCGTCTCTCGCGAAAATATCGGGTTGTTTATGAGTCAACGTTCTATCGAGTTGAGGATGTGAACATCACGAACTTCGACACTGGATACAATGAAAATATGATTTTATTTTCTGTGATAGCTTGTCCTTTCGATAGAGTTGTCAATATTTATTGTCACCACCATTATCTACTCTTCCAACAAAGTAGCATTGTGTTCTGCAAACAACAATCAATTCTCATCGTAAAAATCAAGTCTGTATTTCAACAACAGGGAAACAAAGCTTATTATTGTAATCAATCAATTATGCATTTTTATTGAGTAATTCCGTAACATGGTGCAGCATATTCGTAACCAGTGCTTCAATAGCAGTAGTTGCAGAGAAAATTGATGTATTAAATGACGTTGCACGGCTCAAAGAAGAAGATATACAGGGGTGTTTCTCGTTTGGTCGTTCATCCTCCTATATATTAGGTTGGCCCGAAAGTTCGTTCGCACCAATTTCAAAAATTCATAACTTCTAATTTTTTTAAACCGATTTGCATGATTCCATTTTTATTTAGAAGAGCAATTCATACTCTTCGTGGATCTTATGGTATTCTATTGAGCATATGCTGTATAGATATAAGTGGTAGAAAAAAAAATTACTCAAAATTTCGATTTTCTGTGTAGGGTCATAAAAAATCTGGAACTTGCAGTAAAAATCGGAGCAGTCGGTATTGTAGGTTCTATTACCTGCTCTTTCTAACTGTGCAAAGTTCATGCTGATTGAGTGTCTGCTTAAAAGGTTATGATTTTCGGGAAAAAAGCCAAAATAAGTTCTCCCTTTTGTATTGCTTGCTCAAAAATCATAACTGCTCATGAAGACGCTCAATCAGCACAGACTCTGCACAGTTAGAAAGAGCAGGTAATAGAACCTACAATACCGACTGCTCCGATTTTTACTGCAAGCTTCAGATTTCTTATGACCCTACACAGAAAACTGAAAATTCAAGTAGTTTTATTCTACCGCTTATATCCATGCAGTGTATACTCAGTAGAGTGCCACTAGGACAATGCTGTGAAGAGAATGAATTGCTCTTTCAGATAAAAATATCAAAATAATAAAATCATGCAAATCCGTTGGGAAAAACCAGAAATTATGAATTTTGAATTTGATGCGACGAACTTTCGGGCCGACCTAATATATTGCGGCCGGTTCATACGAGCACGTGATTTGAGCGTTTGTTGAGGAAAATATAAGAAAACGTTAGCTACTATAAGAGCGTAACCGAAAACTATACACAACGCAAAAATCGACTTCATTTGAGAAAAACATTTTTCGCCGAAATATTCTTGGGGCGGATCACAATTATATGAACACCCAGAAAAACTCTTTTTTTGCTCAACTTTGCAAACTCTGGCATTCAAAATAGCATAAAGTGATCCGAGATATCCGCTATTCGCTGAACCTACTGGAGTTCGAAAACGGAAGCGTTATCTTCTCCTACCGCTCAAAAATCCTTTGAACCCAGTCAGCGCTGAAGAGCTTGTTCTTTTGAGATATTACGCATCCGTCCAGTTTACGCAAGGCTCCGTGGTAAATTTTACCATGTTGTCGTGTTGCTCAGCGCTAGAAAAATTCTAATGAAAATTGTCACAATTTTCAGCATAGCCTCGACCTCGTCATAGAGTACGAGTTTAAACCTCAAAACTCTGTTTCTGCAGTTTGCAAAGTTCTGCGATGAGGCCAGTGCATCGCTCGAATGGTGATACATCTGTGCTAGAGTCTTGAATTCTCCAAAAAACCCACAGCACCTTGTTCAATTTTGCCCTTCATTTTCATTAAATATCAAGTGCATGGTAGAACAAAAATGCTCTAAAAATTCTTTACGAAGTATAAATAGTTATACATCATGTACAAAATCATGCACACTATGTGCTTGTCACATCATATAGCTTTGTGAATGGCAGAAGAAGAGTTTTGAGGCTAACTATTGCGATAACTTTAAGAGAAGGTCTAGGCTTTATCTGAGGCTGCAACGAATTTCATCAGGATTTTTCAAGTGCTGGATAGCACAGGAAATGGTTAAACGTGTTTTAGAGCCTTTGTGTGAGCAGAATGGAAGCGCAGTATTCTATAGAAACAAGCGTTTTCAGCGCCGGCTAGTTCCAAAGGAATTTTTAGCGATAGGAGAAGATAACGTTTCTGTTTTCTGGCTCACTGCAGCTGATAGCGAATATTTCGGATTGTAAGGCCGTAGCTCTGTAGGCATTTTGAGCGTCGTTATCAGCGTTGAGCAAAAAAGAGCTTTGCACAAGCTGCTCATATAATTATGGAACCGTTCAACGGTGCGCAATGCTTTTTGAGATGAGCCCGATTTTTTTTGTGCTCCGTATGTTTCCAGTTACGTCTTTTCTTTGGCGCTGACGGTTTGTTGAACTTGTTTCAAAAAATTGCGAAACTCCTTTATCAAAGGTGTGTTTCATAGTTGTGAACGGCACTATATAGTGAAAGTCTCGAGTAGTGCTGTTTTCAGACACTGATAATTTTACAAAATCAACATTTCGAAGAAGATAATTAGTGTTTATGTTCAAAAGCAAACCAAAGCTGTCTACTTTATACACATCTTGATTTCCCCTCCTTTCTTGCTTTCATTTTAGTAACGCTGATTCTCTTTTCATTTTCGAGCAAGAAAGCTTCAAGGAATGTCAACATAGTACAGCAATATAAAAAACAATGCCTTTCTGCCCAGCCCAGTAGCTCGAAGTTTTTGTAAAATCAATAAAATCGATATCGATCGTTGTCGAAAAGTAGCCTACGACACCCGCCCGGCCTAGAAGTGTGTATGTGTGAAAGTTTGGTCCGGATCGGTTCAGAAATAAAATTTTCTATTCGGAACATACGTACACACATACAGACAGACATACAGACAAATAGACATTCAGCTTTATATCATCAATAGCCGTAACAAAGCACAAGGGACGAAACTTGGGTTAAGGCGTGTACTCCTAAAGCTTGATCTAGGAAATGAATCTAATATATAAAGAATCGTAAGCGCAATTCAATAATTGTGCAAATAGCGGGAAACCGCGTGGCGATCGCGAAGCGAACGCTCTTCCAAATAGCACCTTAAGATTACTGGTGCACTAGTTTATGTAAAAAATTTGAAAGTTTATGTGAGGAAGGGGAAGAATTGTCGCGATTCATGACTTTGTCTATTCTCGCGCAACCTCAGGGTGCTCCCAGGTTGCGTGGACGCAACCTAAAATCGAAAAACACAATTCCTCTCGTTCACAAATTTTTTGAATTTTTACTTTTTTTGATCATCGCCGCGAATGTACGCCAGATTTGGTGGTTCATTATTGCTTACTTGTCGTAAACAAAACGATTATTTATATTCTTGTGCGTAAAGGATGTGTTTCGACACGTTAAAATCGTGTGCACCAAACGTGTTAATGAGCCTGTGGTGAAATTACGTTAGATCCTCAATTTCGGGCTAGTTAAGAAATGTAGTTTTGCTTTTTCATATCTGGTCAGGTATTATAATAAGCAATATTCATCAAATATGCAAATAAGTGCATCAAAAGAAATATTAGGTTTTAAAGCGAAATAGAAGGCTTTGAAGGCAGCGTCCCAAATTTTCGGGCCACATGCTTTATTAATCAAGGCCCGGATGAGTGCTTTGAGTTGGTCCTGCCTATGCAACAGAAAATCTTGTTAAAAGTAAAGAGAGACAGTCATACAGTTTCATTATGTATTTGCCTGTCAGTACGCGTTTGGGACGGCGGATGAAAGGAGCGGTATAAAAGGAAACGTGGTAGATTTAGGTTTTCCAAACTGCTGGTTGATTACCTCTTTTTTTCGGGCAACATTAGGAGACTTGACCAACACAGGCGCATTTTAAGGCTGCTTGCGGATCAAAAAGCAATCTGAGGAGTATAACTCGAGTGGACGCCGTTACAGAGTTTAAGAACAAGATCCCCTCGATTTCTGAGGTTTTATTGGAAAGCGGCAATTTCCATGTTTTGATTAATATTGAAAATTTGGGAAGTATATGAGTACTTTAGAGTTATGATGCTGTTTTTCCAATGATGACCGTCACGGAATTTCTCAAAAAATTGTACTCTTAACACGAGCATCATTCATTCTAAGACCAAGTACTTGCAGTTTACATAATTCAGGAGTATTTGCTGCTTGAAAACAGAGCAAGTTCAAGTTAATATGGAATGTGCGCAAAACGGTTTCAAGTTTAGTTTCAGAATGATTATTGGTGCGAGTTAATTTTCGTACCATTGTTTAATGTTTCACGAAAAACCCACTTTGCTAGTTCTTTGCAATAAACATATATCGTCCAAAATGCTCAAACGATAACTAAAGTAAATAAATGATTACCATCATTTTTGCAATAAACTGACAAAGACCTTATACCATCCTCGAGATTGCTTATCTTCATTTTGGCTTGCTCCCCCGGGGTACCAACATAGAACTCTTGCATAGTTACATTAGAGTGCTGAAACCTCTGATGTTATGTAATACATAGGACTTTGACCAACAATAGCGTCATCCAATAGACCAAGACTTGTCATTTTCAATGAACTATCATCGATTGTGGAACTGGTTTTTCTAGACGTGGTACTGCTTGCATTTCTTCTATTATCACTTCCCATTCCCTTTAGGACTCTGAAAATAGATTTGGTTTGATCTATGGTTTTTCTGTTCAAAAATTTACCCATGTGGGACATTGTAAATAATGCGATTATTACCAAGAATGAGTCCTCTGTTATTCAATTCTTCCATAGATATGGGGCTAAAGAATCTTCAAAAAATATCATTCCCACCGTTCACGACTTACCCTTCTTGTGCGGTAGAGTTTGGAGAAACGATAGTCTCTGCACTGCCTCTTCGGTATGTATGTTTAGGTGTATCTCTAGTAATTTTGCCCCTTTTCAAAAGGGCTATTTCATCCAGGAAGTTGCTGAAGATTTCCATTTGTGGCTTCATGTGGATCAAAGCTACCTACTTAGTAGAAAGTGAAGTCAGTGAACTGATAGGGGCATCCACTTCATTGTATATTGGAATTCCATACTCCTGCAAATTTACCGAGACCCTGGTGAATATTAGTAACAATCAAATTGAATTGAAGAGGTGTATATCATATAGAGAACGGAAATGAAACTTTTAAGGAGCAGTTCATAACTATTTCTGCTTGTCCCTCCACTAAAATCTAGAAATTTGGAATGAAGAAAATGAATTCTTGCGATGCTCGCATTTTCTGATCGCGCAATATGCGCTTGTGATTTTGAAAATCAACGAAATGCCTCAGTCTATACATTTTACCTTATATCTCAGTTGTAAGGTTTTACACAACTGTGACGGGAGCAGCTACGGATTAATTTGCGAGCGGCCGCTTAGCGGCTGATTAGGGAGAACAATATCCTTCATTATTGGTGATAAAGTTGATACTGATTGCCAAGTATCTTATCATTTACTCTGCGTTACATGCTACTATGGTTGTGCAGAAGTACAAAACTTGTGTATTTAACCAAAGATAATCAGAGTCTGCAAAGTCCTGGTTAACTGATAATGGAACTACACGGGCGTTGCTGGAGACGGAAGAACTTGGCTCAAACATGCGAAGATTGGTGGTTTTGCGGTCTTTCTGGCCACTTAAACGGTGAGTTTGAGAAATGCAAAATTGAGTTTTACGCACGTACATTCCCGCTGAGAAGGAAAGTGAGAGCGGGAGAGGAGGGGGAAGGGGAGCTGTGATAGGATGCCATGTATCTCGGTGTTCTAGCAATCTGTATCCCTTTTAGTATCGTAAAAAAATCTTTGTTCTTGAAATGTTTTTCTACTTAGCTCTAAGAAGTCAGTTCAGCAAGTCTACTACTTTGTTCTTTAGGATAATGAGCACATTGTAATATAAGCGGTGTTTTCAATATTGAATGAACTGGATGATCCCTTTATATGAAACTCAAAAATTGTCTGATTGGAGGGTATGTGAGTTATAGAAACGCGCGTCAATTAACCGAATGGGCTGAAAGTGCACACAGATGTTTTCGACCCCGGAGACGGTTTTAGGCTATCTTTCACTGGAATTCGCTCGGTCCTTCCATCGATTTAATGTTTTCTTTACGTTTTCCTGAGGAAATGAAGGCTTATCATGTTTAATCAAGCTTTTCTCATAGTCATGTAAAGGAGGGCGGTGAAGCTCATTTTCACCTCAGGATCACAAGGATGCGGTTTCAAAGCGGATGTCCCAGGGTAAGTCATCCAATCATATAAGGGGGGGGGGGGGGCTTGCAGTGCAAGTGTGTAATGACCCGGGCTGGACCGGGAAAGCCAACTAGTAGGAAAATAAGCAGTGATCCTGCTGATTTCAATGTTCAGAGTGTTTCAATGTCTCCCATAATCCATAAAAGAATTCCGAGAAATCTCACCTTTTTAAAAACATTTATGTTTTATTGAACTTCAGAAAGGTCGTAACTGAGCCGAAAATTCATTAAGGTAGAGTCAAGTGTGTTTTCGTTAGAAAAAAATGATATATGGAATTCATAAATTTTTCGATAAACCCCCGATTTCGCGATCATATTTTCGTTATACTGCGGTTTTACTTATTTCTACCAAATCGCATTTGTACTACGTCCACAACCATTTGCCCTATAGAAAGTGTGCGTAGACGTCATATTAGATTCTCACCACAACTTTAGGATGTTTTGAGTTTGTGGACGGGTGAATGGTTGAAAAATAATAGGCGATCTCCAAGTCGATTTTCGAGAGGTTTGTTAATAACAATGAAGAACTCAATGTATATGATAATGCGCTGTCATTGATTATGTTGATGTAATATGATGGAGATGGTTGGTTAAACAGGGTCACAATATTGAAACACCAAGATAAGAGGGTCCCTTCAGAGCTTCCCTCGTTGCTTAGTGTGTGAAAAAGTCAATGAACGAATTCAATATTGAAAATTCGCACTTTGTTATTATCTGAAGCGAACTCAACATGATTTGGGTCCATGTGTACTCATAAAAAGGCAATGGTGGCTGGAACATTCTAGAATGAGAATTGACAGCTGTTCTAAAAGCTTCAACCTGCCGGAAGATGGACTCATATAAAATAAGACTCATATGCTGTAGTAAACCGTAATGAAGCTAGAAAAACATGACCAGTCTTTTCATGATTAAAGTCGACTCCCCGGTGTACGTTGGGCGGGGCATTTGCAGATTTCTGAACACGTAAACGTTAACCCTCTACAAGGCATTAGTTTTTGTAATTTCTCGCTATCAAAAACGCCACGTGTGACAACAGCATATATACGTGATGGATTAAAAAGTACAAAGAACCATACTTTGCAGTAGAGGTTTGACAAGTCACCAACGCGTTTAGAAGTCTGCAAAATGCTTCCCCCAACGTACACCGGGGAGACGGCGATACCGCCTGCGTGGTAGTAAGTATAATCATGCGCGCAGGGTTTGAAAAACTCACTCGTGTCTTTTGGGGAACGGAACTTACCTACTCGAACGACTTGCCGCCGTAACCATAGGAGTCATGAGGTATCAAGAACGCTATTAGCGCCTTATGTAGAAGTGATCTCTACACAAAGTAAGCCCCGTACTCATCCAACAGCGCATGAACCCCTAACTTCGCTGTAATTTCGAAGTGAAACTTCAGTATCGATAAATGCCCGGTTAAGGTGAAAGATGCTAGCTAAGGGTTGTCTAAGATGCTATTCCCGAATATCAGCATCTCTGTTCAATTCGCCAAATCTGCAAACTTTCTATGTAATTCTTATAATAAATTTTATTGTGAATTTGGAATAACTGAAAAAGAAACGAAAATCTGCTTCGATTAGGGAAACTGGCTGAACTCAAAATCCGTCAGATTATTATTTTCCAACATATTCGACTCAAAAAACACCAACGCTCTAGAACTGAAAATGACTCCGGACTGATCAGCTCTGCATACTATGCTAGTTAATGTTGCGGACAACTCATGATACCGAAGATACAATGCGGGAAGTCTTTTGGGTAGGGAAGTTCCCTCACCCGTGTCCCTTTTCTTAAAGGCAGGGTTCAGGCCAAGAGGTGGAGTTACAGTGTTTTGCAGTCACTTGCTGGATATGGCGGAGAATCCCTCGCCCCGCATTTCCAGCTCTGCAAGGCCGGTAAACTCCAAAAAAAGCACTTTTCTGAGGTTTTAAGCACAGTACCGGACTCAGGTGGTCCAGAAGATCGCCGTGAGGTTGTGAAAAGCCCCCAGTCGCGATTTTCCCGAGCCGCTGCCTTTGAGGTGAAATGGTACCGCAAGGAAGGCCTCTAAGAACATCCTAATAATTGTCAAGACCGCACATCCTGCATCGGTAAAACGCGCAGTTATCACCAATATGTACAAGACGGCTATGCGGATGTGCTTTGAGGAGAAAGAACGTTGCAAATCGCGAAATTTGGCTTCTCAAATAGCTTGCAGTAATGATTACCATGACTTATCTCGTCCTCGACAATCTAGGAATGGTAACGGAATTTATAGTATCAACAAACTCCCACTTTGCCTTCCCTTCATCTCACGAGGGAAGCTACCTAACTTAGCCCCGTACTTTCGTAATAAGACACATATATTTGGAATCAGCCTGGAATGCTGATGCCAAATATGCTATTCCCAGGTGCCACTCATCATTCGGAACGGAGTTACGAGGACCTCCTTCCGTATGACTCTTTCACCGGCGAGTCTAGTGGAAACTCGCCAATGAACAATAGAGTTCGTATGGTAAAGTGGTAAGTGTCTCGCTTCGTACTCTGAGGCTCCAAGGTTCGTTTGCTGTTTTACGTTCTCCGTTTTGCAAAGGTAGTCTACAAATCCAAACGTGGTCCACAAGTGGCCAATCATGTCTACGTTCATCTTAGGTAAGTGGGGTTGTCATAAATCGAAGATGTTCTGCCCTGAGCTGGTCGTTGCTTATCTGTCAAAGACCTTTGGCCCTTGCGAATTAGTAGCTTTACGTACATGGTTTTATGGTCAAACTAAAGGGCCGGGCATACTTCACGCGATCTCAGTCGCGACGCGATTTGGCAGTATTCCAACTGTCCATAACTCACTGTAAGCACATTTTATATGTACAGAAGATAGGGCATTTTATCACTCCGCGTAAGTGATACACATTATGCATGCGCAGTTTGCTAGTGATGGATCTGAAGACTACTGGCAAATTGCCAAATCGCGTCGCGTCTGAAATCGCGTGAAGTATGCCCGGTCCTTAATACGCCCCAATCTGAATTCACTTTTAGGCTGACTAATGAACACTTTTGAGAAAACGTCCAACATGACTCGAACCTTGGAGCCTCAGATTACAAAGACAGACATTTACCACTTTACCACACCACCTCTAATATCCATTGTCGAGTTTCCCCTAGACTCGCCGGTGGAGGAGTCATACGGAAGGAGGTCCTCGTAACTCTGTTTCGAATGATGCGTGGCACCTGGGAACAGCATATTTGGCATCAGCGCTCCAGGGATTTCGAATATATGTGTCTTATTACGAAAGCGCGAGCTAAGTTAGGTAGCTTACTTCTTCAGATAAGATTACCGCGGGGTTTCAACAATGCATTTTTCGAGCAGCTGCAAGATGATGTTGTTCTAGTTAACATCCCCAATGACAATGTCAAAAAGCAGCTACTCCGATTTAGGGTTTACGACCGATACTGTACAACAGAGTAATGCATACTATGCCCGCACGGTAGAGTGGGGGACTGTACAAAAGTAGGAGTCGTTCATCAAATCGAATGTTTTGACTGCAAAGCCATATATTAGGTCGTTCCGAGAGTAATGTCGATTTTTACTATGAACACCATATTCAATAGAATCAAGATTTTCAAGAGTTCTTAGGAGTATTCGATGCAGCATTTATCGCCTTTCTAATGGTTGTATTGTAATTTCATTGCATAATATTCAATGAGCCCTCAAAAAATTACCAAAACCTGCGACTCACTTTTTGTCATGGTCAGGTTGCGGCTATTTTTCTAAATTTTTGTATCTATTCTTCGAAGAAGTACAAATGACAGCAAACCCTATGGTACACAGAATTATTTTTTTCTTTTCATTAGCTTGCTTCTTAGACTTTCTGGAATTAATTTTTCAGTGCCACTAAATTCTATATTTGGTCAACCCAAACCTCACAGAACAACGGCAAGCAACTCAGGTTTTATTTAACGCAGCTTTTTCTCCTCTTTCCACCAGTTGTTATATTTCTCTGATTTATCAAGTTTTTCGGGATAAAATCATCTTAATTCAGGTTTTTCAGGGCGCCCCAGGCTGTACCCTTTTTTTTCGAAAGTTGCTAATCTGAAGCGGTGAATGCTCATTTGGCTTGCAAAATTAGCGTCAAACCATAATCCATTTTGTATGTTCCAAAATCCGAAGATTCATTGGTGATTGATGCAATTGTGTCTGAGACGAGCCCGCTAAAATTAGGTGGTTCCATCAAAAAATCTATGCAAAAATTATGACGAGCTCTGGAAAGTAGAAAAAAGTTGTGCTGTTTTCTGTAGGGTTTGCTCTATCCATCCATTACTCGGACTCCTTCCGAGGTTTGTTATAAAAATTTAAAAAAATTGTGAAAATTAGCCTTTTTAAAAAGCATAGGTCGCAGTTTTTGGTGTTTTTTCGAGAGGTTATTAGATTTTGTACAATGTTTGTATAACCATTAGAAAGAGAATGAAATGCTGCATCAAATGCTACCAGAATCTCTTACACATCTTTGTTCCACGAGATGTGGCGTACGTTTGAAAAAAAAGCGACATTACTTTCGGAACGACCTATTATATAGGAGAGACGGGTTATTCGCATCGGTTTTGGTTATTCGCATGAAAGAACACTTGGCTGATAAAAGGCGAGAAATTTGGGGTCGGCGCTTGGTAGGCATAGAGACGCTCAGCACGGTGGAGAGGACTTCGATGTAAAGTGCAAAATTCTCGTTTGAAGCGGAGATCTCTGTTAGAAAAGCTTTGGAATCATCCTGGATTACTTCCAAGAATCCTAAGAAGAACAATAAGAACGAATGCTTATCAATAATGAATGACTTCCTCCCGTTCGTATCGTTATGTTATCTATAACTGTAGATTATCTTGGTGCATGTACAGTGTGATTCACTCGTCTGCCGCGACTGCCTATTTCCGGTGCAGACTACTCGACTAGCAGTGGTCTTCCGGTATGTCCTCTACACTGACATTTTATTTGGTAGCGAGATCGTGAGAAGGTCGAAAATTGGCAGAGTCGGAGGAAACGCTAGGTGGTCTGGAATTACGGATGACACTTAGAACCATTCAGGCCTCTGAGTAAAACGAAAAGCGTCGAAACGTTAGGCATTGGAAGAAATAAAGACTTCTCATGTACGGCACAATAGAAATTTGAGCTTACGACACATGCCAAGGTTTCATGGAAACGGGACTTGGAAGCCCATTCGAATCACTTTTTGGGTTATCCTGAATCTCGTTGGTTCTCTTTTTCAATGAATGGCGAGAACACTGGAGTCGCAAACGTAGACATGAGAACACAAAGTACAGGGTGTACCAAATTTGAGTACACATTTAATCTCTGATAACTCTTTTCTTGTATAGTTTTTGTTTAGCATTAGGTATTTATTTTTTAGTAAAACAGGCTTCAACTCACAGGGGAAGCTTTTAGTCGAAGTGGTCTTTCTAAATGATATGTAAACCAGATTGAAGGGCATAAACGCTGACTCCAATCTGCCTTCCTATCTGCAGAGCATTTGTGCACGAGAAGTTATGAGCGTTTTTTCAAGCCAAAAACTGAATATGCATTTTGGATAAAATGAGTTGCTAAAATCTTACTAGCCCTGAAATAATGTAATAACCAAGTGTGATGTATTTTCTATTTGAGAGTATTTTTAAAGTGCTCTGATGATTATTACTGCTTCATCAAAGGGCTGGAAAAGTATTACGGCTTTTTTGTCCTGCTTGCACATTCAGTTCTTTGCCCTAATAAGCGCTCATAAATCTTCGTCCATAAACGCTCTGCGGATAAGGAAGGCA